CCACTGCTGGCTTTTTTCTTTTTGCTTATGTGGTGCTGAAGAATTGAACCCAGGGCCTCATGCATGCAAGGCAAGCACTCTACCACTGAGCCACCTTCCCAGCCCTAAAATATATTTTTTGATCAGTGTTTTATTCTGTTTTGGCAAAGAGTATTACTACCAACAGTGTCCATTTACTCAAACCCTCTTTTTTTCCCCACCTTTCTTTCTATGGTACTGGGGTTTGAACTCAGGGCCACATGTTTGCTAGCCTGGTGCTCCGCCACCTGAGCCATGCCTCCAATCCAGCATTTTGCAGGTTAATTAAAAATAGATTCTTACATTATTATTTTTGCCCATGTTGGCATTGAACTACAATCTTCCATAGCTCAGCCTCCTGAGTAGCTAGTATTTACATTGTGAGTCATTGGTACCTAGGTTCCAAAAACTCAAGATACATTTTCTCTCATTTTCTTCAGTATTAGAGAAACGGGTATTACTTCCTATATTTATTTATTAGCTATGCTCACTGTGTTCCTGTGAATTTTCATTTTTTTGTACATTTAAATAAACTAGGTTATTGACTTGCTTTGCAGGGGCTTTTTTATGTACCTCAAATAATTTTATTGCACATTGTGCATATTTTCTCCTTTCTTTCTCTTCTAGCTTTTTCTTTTTTGTAATTTTTTTCACTTTTAGAGTTGGTTGGTTTAAACTCTTCATCCTTTCATTATTGCTTCCTGTTGGAACATTTGTTGGGAAAACTACTGTACAGAGGGGTTACAGTTTCATAAGCAAGGTAATGAGTACATTTCCTATCGAGCATTGTTACCCTCTCTTGTGTTTGTCAGTTGTGGGGCTTGAACTCTGGGCCTGGGCACTGTCCCTCAGCTCTTCAGCTCATGGCAAGCGCTCTGCCACTTGAGCCACAGTGCCACTTCCAGTTTTCAGGTGGTTAATTGGAGATAGGAGATCGACTTTCCTGACTAGCTGACTTTGAACGGTGATCCAACCTCCTGATATCAACCTCCTGAGTAGCTAGGGTTACAGGCTTGAGTCACCTGCCTGGCCAAAGTTTCCTGGCATTATCTCTAATGCCAGGAGCCCAGAGGGTGGTGTTCCCCGGAGCTATTCAGTGATGGGCACTTGGCTGCCACCTCTACTTCCTTCTGCCCTTCACTTCAGCCTGCCAAGTTGGCTGACGCAGGACCCTGATTGTGAATCTTCACTGGCATTATTTCCCTTTAGGGGCTTAGGACACACATCTTTTTGGTCTTCAGTTAACATTGAACAATAATCTTCTGATCATTTTTTTTCCTAGAGAATTTGCCTCTTTTGCTTTTAGTAGTTCAGAATTAGCTGTCAAGGACTCTCACCCTGAGCCTGGGAAAATATGGGTCCATTTTCTTATAGTACACAGAAGCAAGGCCTGGGGTTGAAGACTTACTTGCTAGCTTCAGCTCAGTAGAAAACAGTTGGGGGTCCGACATGCCCGGAAAAGAAGTTTCCCATTTCTAAAATGAAGCGTGCTTGGGAGGCCTGCCCCTTATCCCATTTGTTCTATTTTAGTCCCAGTTCAGATATGCTTAATTATCTAGCTAATTGCTTAGCTCAGTTATTAAAGAGCAAAGAATAGCAGGAGGAGGGGGAGGTAGAGGTGAGCCTGATGTGGGCAGATAAGTTGACAGGAAATATAAGGCCACCAGAGCAGGGAACAGGCCTTAGTCCAATTGCCTTCTCCAGAAAACAGAATGAACATCAGAAAAATAACTTGCAAAGCTGTATATAGTGGTAAGCAGGTTTAAAATCTGTCAGTAAATAGCCTAAAATACTGGCAGCAAATGTATCTCTAGGTGGCAGGGTTGTAGGGGCATTTTTTTTTGATAAATATCCTTTTTTTTTTGTATGTAAGTTTATTACAGAACATCAGAACATCTTAAGTACTTAAAACATACTATAGGCATTCAGAATGGTTCTTGTTCAGTGTCTCCTGTTTTTTGGTCACAGGGCTGAACTCATGGCCTGGGTGCTGTCCCTGAGCTTTTTTGTTCAAGGCTAATACTCTACCACTTTGAGCCACACCAGCATCACTTCTAGTTTTTTGGTGGGTAATTGGAGATAAGAGCCTCTCAGACTTACCTGCCCAGTCTGGCTTCTGTTATCCTCAGATCTCAGCTCTTGAATAAGATTACATGCATGAGCCACCAGCATTGGGCTCTCCTGGTATTTTGATAATGGCATTTTCCTTTTTTTTTTGTTTACATTCATTCATTCTCAGGCTGATCCTTTGTATATTTGCTGTTGGTGGTGGAGTCCTGCAGGTTGAGATGTGTAATCCAACATGGCGATTTTTTTTTTCTTTCCAATTTTCTCCTGGGTTGCCCATTGGGATGTTTGCTTTAGCTGGAACTCCTGAGCTGCCTTCATTCTCTGCCTCCCAGAGAAGCTTTGTTCAGTGCTCTGCCTGGGGCTCTAGCCTAGGACTGCTGTGCATGTTAATTTCTTGGCTTTAGAGGAATATGGCTGCTTGCAGTGTTTTAGGGAAAACTTGTCTACAGCAGGACACACATAAACATTTTTGGCCGATTTGAGTTTTTTCTTGTCCTTTCTACCTGAAGATGTGCTTGCTTCTTCAAAGATGTTAGCTTATTGGTTCTCATTTTTAATATCTTCTGTAAGGATAGAAATCCTAGGTGTGTGTATGTGTGTGTGGGGGGGGAGAGGGAGGGAGAGAGAGGGAGAGAAATCCTGTTAGCAAGAGCAGCAAGCATCCAGGATGGCTGGAACAGTAGCTCCCATTGCTCTGAGTGACCATTCTTGTGGGCACTTCTTCCTTTCCATTGAACTTACCTGGGCATTTCATAGCAGCTCCCAGCCTTGGCTGTCTGTTAGAATCACCTTGAATCTTCAGAAGTTCACACGGCCCAGCTGTAACCCACATCAGTTCCATCTGAGTCTCTAGGGTGGGACAGAAAATAAGATGTTGTTAGAGCAGCCAGGAGGGAGCCATGGACTTATAATAATGCCCACCCCCTTCCTGTGGATCTAGAACTCTGGGTCTGGGTCCTGACCCTGAGCTCTTCAGCTCAAGGCTAGGGTTCTCCCACTTGAGCCACAGTGCTACTTCTGGTTTTCTGGTGGTTAATTGGAGATGAGTCTCACAGACGTTCCTGCCTGGGCTGACTGAACCATGATCCTCAGATGTCAGCCTCCTGAGTAGCTAGGTTTACAGGCGTGAGCCACTGGCACTGGCTTAATAATGCCTATTTTAAACAAAAATTTGTGTGCGTATTTCACTTAATTTTTCTAGTGGGAGTGTTTTCAACTTGTCAGCAACACTGGAAATCAGAGCCCATCATGTGTCACTAGAAAAGCATCCTCTTAGACCAGGTTCATGACTACAATCGTCACTACTCAGGAGTCAGATCTGAAGATCATAGTTTGAAGCCAGCCTGGGCAGAAAAGCCTGTGAGGCTCTTTAACTCAATCCAACAAACAGCCAGAAGTCTTGAGCAAAAATGTCAGATGAGAGTGTGAGCAAAAATGTCAGATGAGAGTGTGAGGCCCTGAGTTCAAGACTAGGTACATGCATACAAAACAAAAAAACAAAACATCCTCTTGGGGTTGAGAATGTGGCTTAATGGTAGAGTGCTTGCCTAGCATGTGTGAAGCCCTGGGTTTGATTCCTCAGTATCATATAAACAGAAAAAGCCAGAAGTGGCTCAAGTGGTAGAGTGGTAGCCTTGGGCAAAAGAAGCTCAGGGACAATGTCCAGGCCCTGAGTTCAAGCCCTTGGACAGGCAACAATGACAACAGCAAAAACATCCTCTTAAGTATAGAGATGAAGCAGCCAGCCTTTATTACAAATGTACTGAGCTTGCCATGTACCCTATGTTCTGTACTCAGTCCTGGGCACCATTCTGAACAGGGAGGTGCATAGGGGTTGTCTTTACGTATAAGAAAAGCATCTTGGAGAAACAGCACCCACTGCTAGGCTTACAAATAATAGGACCAGACTGCAGCCCGAGATACTTTTCTGCTTTATTGGGGCATGGTGAAATGAGGCTTTCCCTTACGGATTGGTGGAGACTTTTGGCGCCTCCACCAATGAGGAATGTGTTGGGAATGTGTCGACTTCCTAGGAATACCTCATTCCCATCATGCCTGTGCTGCTCTACTTATTTTACCTTCCTGTGAGGAGGGCAAACTGGCTGCTCGTTACTTTTCAAAATGGTTTAACTTCTGTTATTTTAAACAAACCCAGAGTAAAGATATTTTCATTCTATGTTGATTGGATCTATGTGCTGAAACTCTTTTATAAAATGCTAAATCTTATATAATAAAATCAGAACCAAATCATTATATGCTTCTTTTAATAGTACCCTGTGTCCTGGTGGGACAGTTACTATAAAAATACACGTCTCTCCAGCTCACCTTCTTAATTCACGTGTGGGCTGTGTGACTTACTGTGAATGTAGGAGTTTGTGTTAGAGAATGTGTTAGTAGGTGTGAGTGAGTGCATGTGTTAGAGTTACTGTATGTGAATGAGTGTATTAGTGAGAGTGTGTTACTGTGAGTGTGTGTGTGAGAGGGTATGAATTAAGGTAGAGTAGGACAAGGAAAGAATTGGAGTAAAGAGCTGGAGGCTGAGGTCACGGGGTTGTTCTGTGGCACTAGGTGACTGGGGAAGAGGTGGGGGAAGAGAACTTGGAGTGCTCACTCTACCTCCCAAGGGAAGCCATGGGTTGATGTATTGACTGAGAGATAGCATCCCCTCGCCTCTCCACAGTGATACAGGCACAGACTGTGCCTGTTTCCTTTTTCCTCTTGACTACATTCTAGTCCTGGCCCAGCTGTTGTAAGTGACTTCTAGAGTATCAGAGGGCCTTTGTGTCCAGCCAGAATCTGGAAGAACCCCCTGTTGGAATGTCTGGGTGAGGCTTTTGCAAAGTATAGGGATGTCATCTGATTTCAGCTGGGAAAACACACTGACTTTAAGCCTTTGTTTTTGTCATTGGCAGCTTCCAACTGGGTCTTCTGTCCATCTATTACCACTTCAGACCATCAGGATGGCCACAAACAAAAGTAAGGGCCAGAGTTCCTTGGCCCTTCACAAGGTCATCATGGTTGGCAGTGGAGGAGTGGGCAAGTCGGCCCTGACGCTTCAGTTCATGTATGATGAGGTAAGACTGCCAAGATGACTGAATCTCCTGTGCAATGTCTCTGCTGCAGCTGTGTATCTGTGTCCATCCTCCCATATGCATAGGGGCTCATAGGGATTTGTGTCTGGCTAGTTTCTGAAGAGTTGCATGGGTATAGGGGAGCTCCAGCTTAAACTCTGGTAGGGGCATAAGAAGGCTCTGCTTCTATTTTTTATGTTAATGTTGTCATTGAAAGCAGTTTGTCATTGAACTTTGTGACAGAGGCAAGGGGAGGAAGGGGGAGAGGCCTTTGTACATAGGTGCTAGAGTTTGTGTCTTAAATGTTTCCCAAAAGTTGTGTGTTGAAGGCTCAGTTATTAACCTGTGGTGCTGTTGGTAGGGGGTAGAGCCTAGTGGGAGGAAGTTAGGTCATTGGAGCATGCCTGGGAAAGAGATATTAGATCCTGGCCCCTTCCTGTTTGTATGCTTGCTCCAGCCACCATGATGTAAGCAACTTCCTCTGCCATTTGCTCCCACCATGATGTGCTGTTTGCAACAGGGCCTACTATGGACTGAAATCTCTGAAACTCACCCAGATTAAACCTACCTTCTTTTTAAAACAATTTTTATTTATTTTTTTGATAGTCATGGGGCTTGAACTCAGGGCCTGGGCACTGTCCCTGACCTGCTTTTGCTCAAAGCTAGCACTCTACCACTTGAGCCACAGTGCTACTTCTGGCTTTTTCTGTTTATGTGTACTGAGGAATGGGCCCCACCTTCATGTATGCTAGGCAAGCACTCTATCACTAAGCCACATGCCCAGTCCCTAAAAAATTTTAACTTGTTATTGTAAAGGTGGTGTATGGAGGGGTTACGGTTGTATAAGTCGGGTAAAGAGTACATTTCTTGTTGGATTATGTCACCCCCTTCCCTCACTCTCTCAAACCTTTTTTCTTTTAAGATGATTATCTTAGAAATTTTGTCATGGTAATAGAAAATAACTCGTACAACTTGTTTCTTTTTTCTTTCTTCCTGCAGTACTAGGGTTTGGAGTCAGGGCTTCATGCTTGCTAGGTAGGTGCTCTACCACTTGAACCATGCCCCTAGACCTTTTATGATGTAGTTTTTAATCAGTTCCCCCCTCGCCACCCATACACAGCCTGTCTCACTTTTTTTTTTTTTGGTTGGTCATGGGGCTTGAACTCTGGGCCTGGGTGCTGTCCCTCAGCTCTTCAGCTCAAGGCTAGCATTCTACCACTTGAGCCACAGCGCCACTTCCAGTTTTCTTGTGGTTTACTGGAGATAAGAGTCTCACAGGCAGGCTTTGAACCGCGATCCTCAGCTCTCAGCCTCTTGAGTAGTTAGGTTTATAGCCCCCAGGGAGTGCCTCACTTTTTTACCTGGCATCAGTATCAGGATAATCCTTCTACCTGTCCCTTCTGTGTAGAGGGGATTATGGTGTATGCTACCACACCCAGTTTATTTGTTAAGATGGGCTCTCACTTTTTTCCTGGGTTGACCTCAAGCTTAAATCCTCCTGATCTCCACCCCCAGAGTAGCTAGGTGTGTACCACCACACCTGGCCCCACAACAGGCAATTCCAAAGAACACATTAGATACTTGGCTTTGTGACTAGTCAGTTTGGAGAGAAAAGCAAAGTTGTCATAAGAAACTAATCTTTTCCCAAGCGATAGACATCAAGGTCTTCCTAACTCCATGCAGCAAGGAAAAGGTTTCACCATCCTCACCCCAAATATACATTACTTAATGTGGAAACTGTGACTGCAGCCAGAATGACAACACAGCCTTGACTCTTGTGTTTGCTGGAACTTGAGGCAGAGGCAGTGCTCAGAGCAGATCTCCACCTCAGCACCTTTTCTGTGCATGATACCCACATACCACATGCTGTGATACTTGCCAGAGATGCTAGAACCAGGCAGTGCTGCTCAGTCTCCTTCCATGAGGAGTCCTGTGCTGAGCTCTGGAGGGGCTTCTAGCTGAGAGAGGCTGATCTGGAGATGGCTGGTTGGGGAACAATGGTGGACTTCCGCTGCTGCAGGAATATCCCTCCCCCCCATGGCTGACTCACCAGCATTGTGATGGGAGGTTACTGGGTGGAACCCCATGTGAACAGGTCCCATGGCTCCTGGTACTGTGGCGTGGAGAAATGGAGTAAAGCCTGGAGCTAAATTCAGTCTGGAAAGTTGGAAAGTGCTCCAGTGAAGCTTGCTAGTGAGTTCCTAGATGTGACAAAACACTAATTCCTTAGTGTCTATGCAAGATTGGTTCCAGGATCCCATGGATTCCAAAGTCTACGGACTTTTGAGTTCCATCCATAAATGAATGCAGGATTTGCTTATCACCTACATACTCCTCTCTATACTTCAAGTCATGTCTAGACTGAGTAGGTGCAATACTGTATTGTTTAGGGAGTAATGGCCCCAAAAAGAAAAAAAACAGTTGTGTTATGTTCAGTCCAGATGACATTTATTTTCTTTATTTTCTTTTTTTTTTTTTGTCGGTC